AACAGGGTGGTGGTCTGTGCCACTTTGTGCAAAGGCAAAATGGTGGGGAGAGAGGAGGATGCTGGAACTCAAGATGGAGCTAAGGCTGGGCCTCACCTCACCCTGGTGAAGACAAGACAGCGCACCTGCTTTTGCCGGAGGAAAGAACCCTTCTGGCTTGTTATGATGGCATATTAGGAACTGTTTTGGGAATAGAGGGAGGCATCCAGGGCTGGGTGGAGAGATAAGGTGGGGAGTCAGATGTAATACAACCAGGGACAAGAATGTATGTGCTTCTGAGCAGAAGTACCACTCCTCATGAGACCCCTGGGTCCTGTCTTCAAATGGCAGTAGTGCTTCCACATTTAAACAAAAGGCCCAAGGATAGAAAAAAATCTGACTGTGGAGCATGTGGGGGAACAGATCCAGGAGGGCCCCACAGCATCCTACCCACTCTTCATCTTCTCCCTGGTGGCCTATAAGTTTTTGGGAAGGTGGCTTGGGAAAGTTAAGAGCTGTGGACTCATTAACAGCAAGACTACATGTTGACTTGGGGGTTCTGGTAACTTCTGACTAGGTCGCTGAATGACATTAGCATTTTATGAAAGCTGCTCCATGTGTAGAGACATTGAAGATTTAGAAGGAGGTCTTTACCGGTGGTGGTGGTGGGGGGCAGAGCAGGTGGACTCCAGGTTACAAATGCCAGGCAAACACTCTACTGCAGATCTACACTCTCAGCTCAGTTTTTAAAAAGGGGGGTATGGTCATTGGGTATTCTCAGTTAAGTCTGCTGCATCAGTGGCTGGCATTGGTTGTGACTGGCAGCAAAGATTGTGGGGCGTGGGGCAGACAGATACTTCAAAGAGAATTCCAGATGGGGAAAGTTGTAGGATATAGTTTAAACCCTCTAAGCTATTTTTTCCAGACCTCTTTCTCTCATCATGCTAGCAAAGCTTGAGCTGGGATGGGCAGATGTGCAAGGTGACAGACAGCTGAACTAGATAGGCTCCAGGTGGCTGCAGCCTGGCCTGCACTTGGATACAGCCCTGGAAGGCCCTTCACTGAAGCGGTAACTGGTTAGAGCCGCTCTCTTCACTGCTGCTGGAGTGGGGAGGCAGGTGCTTCCTTATCAGGGACTGGGGCTAGGGACTTGGCAGGAGGGCATGAAAAGAGCCCCTTGGAGATGGCCCTGGGTTCTACCCCAGTGTGCCACCACCTAGCTGAGTGACCTTGAGCAAATGCCATTATGTCTCTGAGTCTATTTATAAAATGGGGAAGAGTTGGCATGAGTTTGGAGATTTCTCAGGCTCCACCCGGTTCTGAAATCCGGCAATTTCTCAACTAGGGTGCATCCATCCTGAGAGGGGTTAGGCCACTGGTGAGAAACCAATTCAGTCCTGAGCAGAGCCCGTTGGACCAGCATGAGCCTGGCAAAGCCATGCCCTTTGAGAAGAGACTTTGAAAGCCAGATCGTCCATCGCCAGGAGCAAGGCTAGGGTTCTAGCTGTCATCCTTGGGGCCAGAGTTCTTGCTGGGCAACACGCGTCAAGCTCACATTGCCAAGGCTGAGGCAGGGGCACAGGCCACCTTCCGGTCTCCTGTGTGTGTCCCAGAGTTCCTTGCCTCAGCTCTGACCTGCTCTGGCTGCCCAGAGTGGCCGAGAAGGTGCCCAGGGAAGGCTGGGAAAGGGGCAAAGGCGGAGCAGAAGGGTGGGCAGGAGAGAGCAGCGCAGTAGGCATTGGGAGCAGCTGGAGGGGAGGAGATCCTGCTCCGGGGAAGCCCTGCGGGTGCAGCTCAACAACACCCCCTTCTCCGGGTCGGTTATTTCGGACCCCGGGACCCGATCCCGGGTCTGGCTTGGGGAGCCTAGCGGGTCTGGAAGCTGCTATATTTAGCCCGCGCGGCGGGCGAGAGGAAAACTATTTATAGATCAAACAATCCGCGCTCCCTGCGTCAATGGAACCCCGCGTGCGTCACGCGCGCAGACATTCCAGGCCCCCGCCCCCCGCGCCCTTGTATGGCCAAAGCTCGTCGGGCCGCGTGCGTCAGTGGCGCCCCCGCCCCTCCCCATGCGTCACGGAGCGCTTAAGAGGAGGGTCGGGCTCGCCAGGGGAGCCCCAGTGCTGGAGGCTGTGAAAGTTGGGGGAGTGTGCGAGAAGGACTGCGAAGCGCACGAGGGACCGGGCAGCCACTGGGTCGCTGGTCCCGGCCAAGGAGAGAGGCAGCCGGCCGGGGAGGGGCCCCGAGGGAAGTGTGCGTCTGTTTCTAGGGGTGGTGCATGAAAGAGATGGGTGTACGCGCGGGGGAAAGGATGTCTTCGGGTCGGCGTGCGAGAAGGGGTGTGCAGAGTGCATCTGTGGTATTAAGGGTAGCTCTTGGAGTGGGGTGAGCGCGAACTTGAGGTTTGGGGAGTGGGTAAAGGATCTGCAAGGTGGTTGGTGCCGGTAGGTAGTGGAGGCTCGTCCAGCGGTTGTTGTGTTGTTTTGTTTTTTTCCCAGGGCGCCCAAACAGGCACGCCATACTCTTGTGTTTGGGTGCCGATTGTGGGGTGGCGGGTGTATGAGTATGTTGCAGGGAGAAAGTATACAGTAGAGCTTCCGCGCTGCTGGGATCTATCCAACTCCATGTAGGACTGAATTTCCACGGGTCTCCTTTCCAGGCTATCAACCTCTTTCCCAGTTGTTTACTTAACACTTTATAGGCTGTAGTTAAAATTTCAGATTCCCCTACTGAACTTTGTGTATGAACTGTGCAGGAAGACCTGGGTCTTGCTGAAGGAAATGGCTAGCTAGATTGGCGGGGTGATTGCGGTGTTGGACTAAGTTGGCACAGTCAGGGTATCTAGAAGCAAAGGATTGTTTTAGCTATACCCTGGCGCAGTCGTGGAAAGGGGCACGTGGGGACTGGGTGAAAGTTGCTCTGCTGTAGTGTGGCACTGACTTGGGAGGGGATTACCCTCCCCTCAATCCAGACAGGCTTGCAGATCACCCCAGTGGTCCCCATTGAATCTGCTAAGTAGGGTGCAGCCTGAGGTTTGTTCACCTGACAACAGGTGCAAGCCACTGTGTTGCCAGGACCTGACCCAAGCCGGATTCTCCAACTCCCTCCTTCAGCCCCGCCTCTTCCTCCTCCCCCCTCCTTGGGACTACCTCCCCCAACACCCCAGGAGACTAGATGCAGGTCTGTATCTCGTGTTGCTGACTATCTGCCTGAAGCAGGGTAGATTGGTGGGGGTTGATCCGGATGTAGGATGTCCAAGTGGAGAAACAGGATTTGAATGAGGCTGGAACAGATGCCCAGTCCTGACTGGCTGCCACCTTTCCTCCTCCACCCCCAACCCATCCCTGCCTAGACAGAAGTGGCCATGTTTATTTCTCACAGGTGCTGTATGCTTGAGGGACCTACCACTGTGCAGGCAGGGCTAGAACTTGGGGGCGGGGGCACTGTTTTTTGGGAGGCTGCATGTCAGGCCAGGGGTGGAACTGTCCTGTCCAGGCACCTAGGGGTGGGGTGGGGTTGGGAGAAATACTGGGACTAGAGGGCTTCAAGGGCCTTCTGGCAAGCAAGTGGTGACAGTCGTTGCCCCATTACTATCCCTTCCTCTGCTCCAGCTTGATTTTCTATGTGGCTTGCCTTCCCTACTAGAAAGGCTACACTGTACAGTCCCTAGTCTTGGAGGTGCTTGCCTTCCCTACTAGAAAGGCTACACTGTACAGACCCTAGTCTTGGAAGGGACACTAGGTCCTGAAGCTTCCTCTGCAAGATTTCTGACCAGATACAAACTTAAGAGTCTCCCTGGAATGGTACTATCTCTGATATTTCAGATGCTCCAGTGTGTGTGTGTGTGTGTGTGTGTGTGTGTGTGTGTGTGTGTGTGTGTATGTGTGTGGCTTTGGCAAGTCCCTGGATGCTACAGGAAACAGACATCTGCTTTATCAGAGGGGTATGGGCAGGGGCAGGTTGTCCTCATGCATCTACCAGTAGGCTCCTGTACTCTTTGTATCCTGCTGGACTCTGAGTGTCCTCTTATAAAAATGATCGGGCTAGCTGAGAAAATTTGCCTGTGTGCTCAGAGGCTCCTCTCTGGGTCTTCCTGCTCACCTGAGGAGTCCCTCACCTCCCTGCAATATATAGAATTTAAGACTTTTTTCTTAACTATTTTTAACTGTGTGTGTGCACATGAATCCTACAAGGCTAGAGGCATCAGAGCTGGAGTTAGAGGTTGTTGTGAGCCACCTGATGTGGAATTGGGAACTGAACTCAGGACCTCTGGAAGAGCAGCACATGCTCTTAACCACTGAGCCATCTCTCCAGCCCCCAGTGTATGTGGTATTTAAACATCTGTAGACATGCTACCCAGTAATTCCCTTAACTCCTGGAAACATTCCAGAAAGTACAGAGTGGGTGCACAGTCCCAGATAGAAGGACTGGGTGCCTGTGGGATCAGCACACAGCGCTGAAGTGGGGCTGGGATCTGAGGCTGCTTTGCTAAGGCCACTGTGGTAGACAGTTGTACCGTGACCCACAGCTTCTCCTCCAGTTCCAGGATGTCTGTCTCCACTGACACTGTGGGGGGAAGTGAGGAAGGGGTATGCAGAGCCTGGGGTGTGCCTGGGAATGTATTCCCAGGAAGTGTCTGGTTGAAAAATCAGCAGATCTGCTCCTGGGGGCTGGGCCGAAGCTCTGTGGGTTGCCTCTCCCAGCCCCCACCCGTGAACAGGAGGCTGGGGGTTGGAGGAACACAGCTTCCCCCTGTTCCTGCAGGGAAGTTCTGGCTAGATGCCTTCCCTAGGGTTCCCAGGCCCACTGGGGTGTGGCTGGCCTTCTGACTGAGCCCTCTTGGACTGGGTCTCTGCCCATGAGCTTTGTGGCTTGTAGACTGAGATAGTGCTTGGGCTGGGGGATCAGGACTCCTGGGTTCTGTGGTCCTGTGGCCTGCCTCATTTCTAGGCCTGCCACCTGGCTGCCCTGGCTCTTATTGACTCCTCCCCTTCCCTCCCTTGGGTCTCCTCCCTCTCCAGAGATGCCCTGTATCCAAGCCCAATATGGAACACCAGCAACAAGCCCAGGACCGCGTGACCACCTGACAAGTGACCCCCTGGCCCTTGAGTTCAGCAAGCCTACCATGGACCTGGCCAGCCCCGAGGCAGCACCCACTGCACCCACTACCCTGCCCAGCTTCAGCACCTTCATGGACGGGTACACCGGAGAGTTTGACACCTTCCTATACCAGCTGCCGGGGACAACCCAGCCATGCTCCTCAGCTTCTTCGTCAGCCTCCTCCACATCTTCTTCCTCATCTTCGGCCACCTCTCCCGCTTCTGCTTCCTTCAAGTTTGAGGACTTCCAGGTGTACGGCTGTTATCCCGGCACCCTGAGTGGCCCGTTAGATGAGACCCTGTCCTCCAGCGGCTCTGATTACTATGGCAGTCCCTGCTCAGCCCCCTCGCCATCCACACCCAGCTTCCAGCCACCCCAGCTCTCTCCCTGGGACGGCTCATTTGGTCACTTCTCCCCCAGCCAGACTTATGAAGGCCTTCGGGCATGGACAGAGCAGTTGCCCAAGGCTTCTGGGCCCCCCCCACCTCCAACCTTCTTCTCCTTCAGTCCCCCAACTGGTCCTAGCCCCAGCCTGGCCCAGAGTTCCCTGAAGTTGTTCCCACCACCAGCCACCCACCAGGTTGGGAAGGGAGAGAGCTATTCCATGCCAGCAGCTTTCCCTGGCTTGGCACCCACTTCTCCGAACCTTGACACTTCTGGGATTCTGGATGCACCTGTGACCTCCACCAAGGCCCGGAGTGGGGCTTCAAGTGGCAGTGAGGGGCGCTGTGCCGTATGTGGAGACAATGCTTCCTGTCAGCACTATGGGGTCCGCACCTGTGAGGGCTGCAAGGGTTTCTTCAAGGTATTTTACCACGTGTTGAAGTGGGGATGGAGTGGGTGGTCACGTTGGGATCTGTAGTGACCTTCACAGCTGGCTCTGACTGCAGGAAGGGGACAGGTGTTATCACTTTCCCAGGGACTCACCGATGTTAGACCCGGGACCCTTTATTCACAAGGGCACGCCGCTCTCTAGGGCTGCAGAAAGCTGGGGAAGGGGGCAGAAGGTGTGGCCTGTGGTGGTGTGCAGGAACAGACATTCTAGTGGGCAGTCTCTGGTTCTCCCCTGCTCCAGCCCTCGCCCTGGTGGCAAGGGGGCCACAGGCACTTGTGTTCCTGGCACGGGATGAAAGGATTCAGGCAGAGGGTTTGGTTCTTGCAGGCTGGGGGTGGACTTGGGAATAGTCTTTGTATTTGTCCCAGTGCTGGGTGCCTGCTTGGCTTCCCTTCCCCACCCCCCACCCCCACCCCCATAGCTCT